TGATTGTGAAGCTTGATCAGACAACCATCTTACTCAAAAGATGATAGTGTTAACCAACTGAGCCAGGCTGACACATGAGGTTCAATAAGTTATTTAATGGCCTTTTTTTGCGCAATGTTGTGTTATCCTAATAAAAATCTCTTAACGTTTCAGCCACCTGCAGATCTGAAGCATTGAGATTGTGGTTACAGGAAAACTGCTGCATTGCATCATTCAAGATTACATTTTATGATAGTTAATAGTTACACCAAACACTTTAAGATATGTGTTTCCTGTAACTTTTTGCTGATAATAAGTGCTTTAGATTTGTAAATCAACTCAAATCCTAGGTCTGAAAGCAAGTATCGAACCATTTAAGGAAAACTGATCTTGACGATATTTCAGGTAGGTGGTATGCACTCTTATTGTTCAAAGCAGCAGAGTGCGACAATGTGACATACTGAGAGCATGTTATTGAAGGATTTCAGAAATTGAGATGAATGTTAGGAAAATAATAATAATAATAATAATCCTTGCATTTGATATAGCGCTTTTCACGTCGGGAGGACGTCCCAAAGCGCTTCACAGAATAGACTGTAAAGTGAATTGACTGTATATTTGTGGGCGAACGCGGCAGCCAATTGCGCACAGCAATATCCCACAAACAGTCGTAGATTGAAAATGACCAATTTATTATTGTTTTGTTTTGGAGGGATTATTAGATCCAGGTCAGTGGTGGGTGGCTGAGGAGAAAGGTAGGGAAGCTCCAGTGAGCTTTAGCGAATTGGAAAACAGAAGAACCAGCAAACGAAATATCAAAATTAATGATTATAATTAGCCATGAATGTTCTTTTTAAACTTTGCTTCAGTGCTATTGCATATAGCCAATATTGACCATCTGAAACCAGAGATTATACTGTTGTTATATTGAAACCTCCACTACAAACATTACTCCAGCATGATTATGAGGTAGAGCTTCGCTAGTAGATGGTTTGGTCACAGAGGTTTGGCATTGGTATAAAGAAGCACTGTTCAGTAACAGAGCACCTTTGAGTTTTGCTCTAATCTCAGTGCAGATGGACAAGCTGGACAGCATTACACATGGTCAACACCACCACAAGCTCTGATACATCCAGGTCTAATCGAGATTCTCACCCCTCTCTCCCATCGAAAACTCTCCTTGTCTACCGCTCCCTAAGCCCCCCGGCTCCTTCCACACAGACATCTCTCCTCTCTTCCCTGTCCCTCTGCTCCGAACGCCTGCTCATAATAGGCGATTTCAACCCACATCTAAACTCCCTTTGCACTACTTCTGCCGATTTCACTGCCCTCCTCTCCTCCCAAAACCTCACCTTTCATATAAATTCACCTACCCAGAACCGTGGTCATGCCCTTGACCTCGTTATCACCCACGGACTTGACATTTCCGACCTCAGTATAGTGGACAAGGCAATCTTGGACCACTTCCTCATCTCCTTCTCCTCTCACATCCCTCTCTCTTCCACCAAGCCCTCAACCATCTTCTAACGCCCTTGGAAAAGGCTACCCCCTGAGACCCTCACATCATCAAACATCCTATCCCTCTGGCCTTCCATCCGCGGAGAGCCTGAAGCAGCCATCCAGCTGCTCCATGATCGCCTCTCCTCCACCTTCAACTCCCTCGTCCCCCTGAAATCCAGGACCATCTCCAAACCCACCCGATCCCCCTGGTACAACAACCATCTCCGCCGCCTAAAAACCCAAACCCGGCTGCTCGAGCGCAGATGGCGGAAAACTGGCCTGACAGTTCTCCGCCAACTGTGGCTCGAGCATCTCCAAGGCTACCGCCGTTCTTTGACACACGCAAAAACAACTTCTACTCCAACATCATCTTGGAGGCTAAACACAACCCTAAAATACTTTTTTCCACCACCCACTACCTCCTCCCTGCCCCCCCTCAGGCCTCCTCCATCTTAATATCAAATGCCAAGTGCGAGGAGGTCATGGACTTCTTTTCATCTAAAATACACAACATCCACCAGGCAGCCTCATCCACCTGCTTCTTGTCACCCACCACCACGCCCTCTCTGTCCCACTCACCCTCCCCATCATCTGCTCCTACCACCACCCCCATCCATTCCTTCCTCCCCATCTCTCCCTCTCACCCACCATCACCTGCTGCCTCGATCCCCTCCCCACCAACTTACTGATCACCCAGCCCCTCCCTCCTCTGCCCACTATTGGCTGACGTCATCAACCAATCCCTACCGCCCTATTTCAAACCTGCCCTTCCTCGCTAAAGTCCTAGAACTCATTGTTGCCAATCAACTTCTCGCACACCTCCTCCCACTCCCTCTTCGAACCCCTCCAGTCTGGTTTCCGCCCACAGTACAGAGACTGCGCTTGTGAAAGTCAAAAACGACATCCTCTCTATCTGTGATCAGGGCTCCCTCTGCCTCCTTGTCCTCCTGGACCTCTCCGCCTTGTTCGACACAGTCGATCACGCCATCCTCCTCCACCGCCTTTCCTCTGTCATCCACCTCAGTGGACCGCACTCACCTGGGTCGAGTCCTACCTCACAAACTGCCAGCAATACATCTGCACAAACGGCTTCTCCTCCTGCTCTCACCCGGTCACCTGCGGGGTACCTCAAGGATCCATCCTTGGCCCTCTTCTCTTTCTGATCTACATGCTCCCTCTTGGGGATATCATCCGTAGACATGGGGTACATTTCCACATGTATGTGGACGACACCCAGCTCTATTTTCCCACCTCTCTTTGCGACCCCCAGTTCCCTGATGTTCTGTCAGCTGCCTGTCAGATCTCAGGGGCTGGATGAACGCAAACTTCCTTCGGCTGAACGTTGACAAGACGGAAGCCATACTCTTTGGCTCTCGTCAATGTCAAAAATCTCACGGTTCTCACCTTCTCCACCTAACCAACCTCCGCCTAAAATCCCCGAACCCGTACGGCGTCAGGTTCAACCCCACATCCGGTCCCTCACTAGTCCGCTTTCTTCCACCTTCGACGCATCGCCCGTCTCCACCAATACCTCTCCGAAAGCCACTGAAACCCTAGTCCATGGCTTTGTCACCTCGCGGCTGGACTATTCCAATGCCCTCCTCGCCGGCCTCTCATCCACTACCATCCATAAAATCCAGATTATTCAAAACTCTGCCGCCCGCATTCTCACCCGCACCAAACTCCACTCCCCGATCACCCCAGTCCTGGCCAGACTGCACTGGCTGCCTGTCCCAGAGAGAATCGACTTCAAGATCCTCACCCTTATCTTCAAATCCCTGCACTCCTCTGCAGCCCCCGACCTCTCTGACCTCCTCTCTGCTCAAAATAGTATCCGTTGCCTTTGTTCCACCGGGTCTGGCCTCCTCCTTGTCCCCCGAGTGCTTCGCTCCACCTTCAGCGGCCGTGCCTTCAGCCACTACGCCCCGAGGCTCTGGAACTCCCTTCCTCACTCCCTTCGCCTCGCTCCCTCCCTTCCTGTTTTCAAATCTCTGCTGAAGACCTTTCTTTTCGACTGCGCCTTTGGTCACCTTCCTCCCCCTCCCTCTGGCTCAGCCCCGGGATCCGTTACTGTGAAGCGCCCTGAGACGCCGTCCAGCGTGGAGGGCGCTATATAAATCCAAGTTGTTGTTGTTGAGCATTGAATCTCTTGCAGTTGGGATTATTGGTAGCAGGCATTGATTCTTTTGCATCGGTGTCTAAATCTCAGGTGGAAGATCTGGTTACTGGGAGTGAGCCAAGTGCTGCTCAACGTAGCTCAGACCTGTCCCTTTATACCTTTGTGCCAACCAAGGATACACATCAGCAGTTTGTGCCTGGTTCAGACCGGATCATTGAATGCCATTGTTCTCTTGCCCTCATCAATCAATGCAGCTATTTGTTAGCACTTCCTATAGTCTTCCAGACTTTCCCAGAACCTTGGTTCACTTACAATCAGCAACTTAAGCCTGCGCTTATCACATTCCACAGGCAGACCTTGACAAGAGCACCAGACATTCAGTACAGACAATCTTCCTCCTCCTTCAAACATCCTTAACCCTTGATGGTACATCATCCATTATACTGTCTATTAATTGGTATACCTCCTCCAACTATCCTACTATCGCATGATATTTCATTAGTCTTGTATTACTTGTCAAGCCACAATAGTTTAGATCAATAGCTGCTTTACTTCAAACGTACACCTCAACATCCAGTCCCTTTCCCAGAATTCTTTTATCCTTCCTGCTTGCTTCTCATTGGTCAATGTCCAATTGCAATATGCAACAGCCCCGAGGTCTATTCCTCATCACATCATGTATACAACTGTTAAAAGTATTCTTCAATTTCTATAATTAGTTTAAGATTACAATAACTAGTTTACTGTTACAAGCATCTTATAATAAGGCTACACAGTTTACTGTCATAAGTATTTTATAATGGGATTACATTTATAATCCAACAGAACATTAGTTGTGTTTGTTGACATGAAATGTACCACACTCCTAAATTTACTTTAGTCTTTGAAACATGTGAGTGGTTAATTAGCCTGTTTTCAATATGTCTTAATAAAAGACATGTTTTATCAATGCCAGCACATACTCAGACTCCTCCGCCTTCAGATTGTGTGGCACTTCAGATTTCAATGTTTACATAAAACAACTTGACAGAATTGCATGTAAAATCACCTGAAATCTTTGTTAGTTGGTGGTGGTGGGGGGAGATCCAATCGGCCATTCTCAAATATACTGTGTGTTCTTTCGGTTTTTGAGGCCCATGTACTGTAAGGATGTTTTGTACATTAAGAGAATTGTGGAGTATTGCAATGAAGGAAGAAGGTAAAGTAAACGCTGGTTCTTCCTGTGCAAAACCACTCAGGAAGCAGAAGTTTGTTTGCATCAGCCGCAACTATGCAATGCAGAAAAACCAGAGGTGCCTAAATGAAACTCCTATATCCTGTGAAGCACTCTGTCTGCTTGCCTCTTTCCGATCCCCAGTGAGAATTGTATGATAATTGGATCTTTGCTTTCCTTATTTTGTAGATGGAAGTAAAAGTGGTGACCACCCATCACGCAAAACACTTCTACGACCAGAAAGATGTCGCTGTTAAAATATACAGTGATTCAGATGAGTGGGAGGTAACGCATTCTCTTTAATTCAATGAAAAGTCAATGAAAAAGCTTGTGCAAATGTCTAGAAGATCTGAAAAGCGCTATATCAAATGCAAGGATTATTATTATTATATATGACCTGTTGATGACCCAGCCAGCCACCCAACACATTCAAATAAAACCTGTTCAACGTATGCAAATTACTAGCCACGATGCGTTTGCATACACCACTTTTGGCCACCTGGGTGGATCTTGCAATAAATAATTGTAATTCGTAGTGATAAGGTACCTTTCACGTCAAATTATATCTCCTGAAGTGCCTTACAAAATATAAATGTTTAGAAATTGAAGTGGATGTTTTTATATGGACAAATCTGCCAGCTAATCTGGGCCGTAAAAACAGCATTTGGTATAAGTCCTAAATTGAGAACTGGGACCTCATGTTTCAGGCTGACCAATGCAGTGCTGGGAGAGAGTTACATTGTCAGAGGTGTCATCTTTTGGATGCAACATTAAGGCCATTTTGTCCATTCAGATGGACAACAACAAATTACATTTGTTTAGCACCTTTCACGTTAGGAGGACGTCCCAAGGCACTCGCCAGTTAGGAATCCGCACCAGAGCTGGTGGTTGGAATCAAGAGGGGTGGAGGGTGCGGAGAGTATACAAATGGACATGGTACTATTTGAAAATGGGGAATTTTTCTCCTGGTGTCCTTTTCCACAAATTATCCAGTTAAATTGCTCATTCTCTTCATGGCTATTTTTGGGAGTATTGTTGTGCGCAAATTGACTGCCACGTTTGCATACAAATACACTTTGGCATAGCTAATAAAATACTAAGATTGTTATTATTGAATATATAAAGTTTTTTGTCAGCTTTTGAGCACAAGGATTTTACTGCTGAAATGAGAAATTGAATACTTTCCCACTTTGGTCATTTATTGCCATCATTGGACATTTCCTATGTCATCACCTACAAATACACAGCAGTCACTATGCTTTACAGTAAAATCCCGTCAAGTGCTTTGAGATCTTTTGATGACGTGATAAGATGCTATATCAAAAGTAAGCAATATTACAACAAGATTACATTTGTATTGCGCCTTTCACGTTGGGAGGACGTACCAAGGTGCTGGACAGTGTACAGCATTTCAGACCCGAGCTGGGGTCAGGTGGGGAGACCGATGGCATGGTGGAAGAGGAGGGTTTTGAGGCGGAACTTGAAGGAGGGTAAGGAGGGGGCGAGGTGCAGTGATTAGTGGATGGAATTCCAGAGGTTGGGGGCAGAGTGGCTGAAGGCTCTCCCGCCAATGGTGGGGCGGGTGGGTCGGGGGACATGGAGCAGGCCTTATTATTAATTTTTTATATATTATATATTTTAATATGTTTTAATAATATTAGTTGTTTTTTCTTGGTCTGCCGGTAGTCCGATACTTGTGGAATACCACTTCCCACCCTCTGCCAGTCTGAGTAGCTACCTTTTAGCCCTACTCTCTGTTTTCTGTCTTGTAGCTTACATCCTATCAGTCTGGCTTGTGTTCAAACCCAAATTCCGGAGGTGGAAGGTCAGTATCTAGCTAACCCACTGAATTATCTACTCGCCCAGTTAAATCCTAGTTGGGAAGGCTGTCTTTATAAAGCTAGTATTGTTCACATTGTGAGCAGTGGACATATTCTGAATTGATATCCTTTTCATATTAACAGAGCTTTAACCTGCTAGTCTCTCAGTATGATAGGGAATTTATTGTGATCAGAGTAAACGAGCGACTCCACACAACCAATATACAGTTCTTAGAACCTAAGAATAGAGGAACCAACTTTCACAGCCAAAAACAGAAGTCACTGGGAACACTCTGCAGGTCAGGCAGCTCCTGTAGAGAAAGGAAAGTGAGTCGACGTTTAGGGTCCACGATCCTTCGTAGGAACTGGGGCATATTAGGAGGGAGAGGCTTTTCAGGGCTAACAGGGCAAGGAAGACAAAGGAGAAAATAGGATAGAGGACGGGGGATAGTAGGTTAAAGAAGTTTTAATAATGAAAAATAAAGGGAGGGAAAATTGTAACAAAATAAGCAGACCGGAGAGAAGAAAAGTGTGTATGGGACCCAGATGATGTGGTAATGGTGACTTTCACTTCAACTCTAATTTAGTATGCTAATGTACAATTCCTCAAACAAGCCTGCCTTAAACCTTTTTAGTTCAAGGAGCGCATTGTTTGCCTGCGTTGATTTTCTTCCTCCGTTTCTTCTGTCTTCTGTAGTTACGACGCTTTATATTATGTTTTCTGCTTGTAATCTCCTGTTCTTGATTTCTCGGGTAGGAGGACGTTCTCTGTTGAAGGGGCTCTGCTCTCTCTCTTTACTCCATTCTCCGAGTCTTTATATCCTTGACGTTTTCCTCCAACTCAGGATACGTGCGACAGTGACTAATCCTTACATACAATGCAGATACTTCCTTTTCCTTAATCTTTGACTGCAGGTTTCAACATTCCCTATCTTACATCCCATGTTTTACATTCGATCCATCTTAGTCAAAATAACAAGGTATCCGACACAATAAGAAGTGACCTTTCCTGTTGCATTCTGTATGCCATCAGCTCTATTTTCCAACGACAAGCGAGTTAGATTTCATAACAGTCAGCAAATTATGTCACCTCAATACCTTTGTATTTTTGTAATAATAATAATCTTTGCATTTGATATAGCACCTTATCACTTCTTCAAGACGTCTCAAAGTTCTTCACAGAATACGCTGTAAAGTGAATTGCCTGTATATTTTGTGGGCGAAACCCAACAGCCAATGAAGTAAAATGGTGTGGCATTTTGTACCAAACAAACATTTCTTTCGGTAAATTGATGGAAAAACATTGTAACTTAATCATTTTTAGGGCATTTTCACAAGAACACATAAAAACTGGTGCCCAAGCCCAATTGATTTTCTGTGTTTTTTCACAGTGCTCTATAATAAGGCTGCTTTCCTCTTAATATCCAGGTTTATTCAGCACCTTAGGATGTTTTTCCGACTTGAAAGGTGCTATACAAATGTGATTTGTTGTTGTTTAAAGCGGTCCGGGATGCTACCTGACATGAAGGGCGCTATATAAATTCAAGTTGTTATTGATGTTCCGGCTCAAATTGCAGGCCTTTCAAGATTGAGTTGAAAATTTATTTTTGTTGGGTTAGGAGGGAAGAGAGTTTTAAGATTTCTTGTCCATTCAACCAATCTGTCCAATGGTCAAGTAGTTGATCTGTTCCCAGGCTCCTACCAATCACACTTGCAAAACAACCAGCTAATTTCATGAGAATGTCTCTTTGCAACTCTCCTTCCCTAAGGAGAGAAGTTAGTGTGAAAGGTTCTCTGATGAACAAAGATATGATTATATAAAGCAAAAAGCAAGAGTTAGCGGTTTTCCCCTGGTTTCTTTACTTCCTCCATTTTTTTTCCTCTCATTTCCTGATGATTCTGACACATGCTAGCTCACCATGATGTAGCTCAAATGAGATTATTGTGGTTTAGTCCAGACACATTTTTGAAAAAGTATTTGAGTGGAAGAGAGAATCTCTATTTAACTCAACCCATCATCCCCATGCTAGAAGGTGGCAGGACAGGTAGATAAAGCTGTTAAAAAAGCATAGGGGATACTAGGCTTTATAAATAGGGGCATAGAAAACAAACGTCAGCAAGTTATGATGAACCTTTATAAGAGTAGAGTTTTACTCAGCGAGAGACTGTGTGGGCCCCACACTTTAGGAAGGATGCCAAGGCATTGCAGAGGGTGCAAAGGAGATTCACCAGGATGGTACCAGGAATGAGGGACTTCAGTTACCAGGAGAGGCGAGAGAGACTAGGATTATTCTCCTTGGAGCAGAGAAGGTTAAGAGGAAACTTAATAGAAGTTTTCAAAATTATCAGAGAATTTGATAGGGTGAACGAGGAGAAGTTATTCCCACTGGCGGATGGGTTAGTAACCCGAGGACACCGATTTAAAACAGTTGTTAAAAGAAACAGGGGAGGTGAGGAGAAATGTTTCATACAGCGAGTTGTTGGGATCTGGAATGCATTGCCTGAAAGGGTGGGGGAAGCCGATTCGATAATAACTTTTAAGAAAAAAGTTATACCTTCTGTCCTGTATAATTCTATGATTCTTGCATCAAGAATTACAGACACTGGTTAGGAAAAGGAATCTTTTCCCAACCTCTTGCTTATGTTGAGGCTTAGCTGGAGCTTCAGGATGGTGGAACCAGGGAGTGCGTTAAAGTGCAGGCAGCAGGTAACATAGGCATGAACGAGAGTTTTGGTAAACAAAGCAAAATGCTAATAATAAAATTGATGTTATTAAAATTGTTATAGTGCAATCAGACCTATGTGCTTTGCTCCCACAGGTATGGAAAAAGAAGTCAGATCCTGTGTTGCATATCGATCTGAGGAGATGGGCTGATCTCATGGTGATAGCACCTTTGGATGCCAATACTCTAGGAAAAATAGCCTGTGGAATCTGTGATAATTTATTGGTAAGTTGATGATGGATTAACAGTGAAAGAATGCTTGAAACATGAAACTGGGTTTTGTTTCATAATGCACAATAAACAACAGCAATATCTGAAGATAATAATGATGCTTGCATTTGATATCACAGTATATCGCCCCATCTGATCTCGTGGTCCCAGAATGCCCACTCCATCATCCTCCTTTCACAGCATCAGACTTGTTTTAAATGAGTGCAGTGTACCCGGCAACTTGTTCCTGGCAACTTTTTCCAGTTATTAATTACCTTCTGACTGACCGCCGGGTATTCTAAACTTCTGCCCACTAGTTCAGCTATCTTGGTGCATCCTAATGTATTGTTCTGGGTTTACTTTTTCCAATCCCATTTAAGTAACGTTTTTCACATCGGGGCTGGCTCAAAGTGCTTCAGCCTTTTATGTATCGTGTGGATGCTACTTACATGCCTCAAAGTAGATGAAACCTACATACTTCAAATTTTGTGCAGATGAAACCTACACATCTCAACTCAAAGTTCCTTCTGAAATTCAAACTTCCTTTTTAAAAAGATTTGTCAGATAAAATGTTTCTCATGGCAGCCAACGAAATGTGTCATATGAGCTACTCTGAATTTTAAGTACCTCCAGTCAAGTGATTCAATGATTCCTTTCAGGACATGTGAACTACTTTCTGAGCAACTATTTGCACAATTTCCTGAAAACAGCCAAACCCACACTCAGTCCCCAAGGGAGACTTTTCTTGTTAGTTTCCGCATTTCACATTGTGCATCCTACGCTTCACGTAAATCAAGATTTCCTATTAATCCCTATTTTGGATTAGCTGCAGATGTTTTTCATCACTTTTTAATGATGCTCTGAACAATGATAGTGTTCTGCTTGAAACAGAGTAGATAGTATGAAGAGGAGTCCCTTCATAATGTAAAGGTTATTTATAGTTCAAATGCTCCCAAGTTACAGTGTGGCAACAAACTGTGTAGAATTAAAAGCAACTCAATTTGAGCTGTGTATGAAACAGCACCTTTGTGAGTGAAGAAATTTGCCTACAAAATAGTTACTCCATTTTACAATATAACCCTGTGAAATACTTTGAGGGGTCTTCCCGACATGAAAAGGTGCTATATGTAATGGAAGGATTGTTATGGTTATAAATTTTTCCTAACCTCTCCCCTAATTTTTCTACTGCAGTTCTGTTCCCATCTTTCTTTTGCACGTAATTTCTTATATCTGTCTGAACACCGCTGACCATTAGTTTTGGCGTAGGAGGAGATTAAAGCATGCTCAAATGCCCACTTCTGTGTGTGCTTTTGCTAAGGTTCTCCCCATTATTTTGAATAGTCCCTCATACTCGGTTGGGAAGTTCACATAATGGTGACCGAGAGAGGGTGAGGTGAGGGGTCATCTTAAGCTATGTGCAGCTATGCTATGTGCAGCTTATACCACAAGTTGCTTTTCAAAATTCTAGGTAAAGATTTTCGTCTGTGGGAACATAAGGGCACATTTTAGTAGTGAATCATTTTAAATGCTTTGATTAGTAAGAATGGTAGTTTCCATTTAACTGCACAGTGATGCACTGAGATGACAAATCCAAACATAATTTCAGCAATTTGTTGACGTAATTTAACCACTTTAAACCTGCACTTTTGTTCTTGATATTTTCCCATGCTATAATACCAGGAACACATTCAGAACCAACTGACTAAGATAGACACTGACACAATAAAATGGGCCGAATACCATTTACTGTGTTGTACTTTTCAGTCATTCCGTGGTGTGGCCAAATTAGGGAGTAACCTGAAGATACTGGACCGAGCAGGGGGGGAATGGTCAGGTTGAGGGGAGGGAAGGGAGGGAGCGAGGAGGGGGTAGAGAATCGAGAGGGGAGCTGAAGACACTGTCGAAGAGGAAGGTCTTGAGACCGGCCTTGAAGGAGGAAAGGGAGGAAGCGGTGAAGGCACTGGGGGATGGAGTTCCAGAGCCTCGGGGCTGAGAGGCTGAAAGCCTGATCACCGATGGTAGGGCGGTTGGGGAGGGAGGTGTGGAGCAGACCGGAGCCAGAGGAACGGAGGGTACGGGCAGGTAAGTAGGGGGATAGTATGTCGGAGAGGTAGGAGGGAGCGAGGCCGTGAATGGCCTTGTAGGTGAGGTTGAGGATCTTGAATTCGATCCTCTGGGGGATGGGGCGAGCGAGGGTGGGAGTGATGTGGTGGCGAAGCCTGGTGCGGGACAGTACACGAGCTGCAGAGTTCTGAATGACCTGCAGTTGTGGAGGGAGGGCCGGGAAGGCCGGCGAGGAGAGAGTTCCCATAGTCCAGCCTTGAGGTGATAAAGGCGTGGACCAGAGTTTCAGCAGCGTGAGGGGTGAGGTAATGGCGTAGTCTGGCGATGTTCTGGAGGTGATGGAAGGCGGTGCCAGTTGTGGCGCGGATATGAGGAAGAAAGGACAGCTCAGGGTCAAACAGAACACCGAGGTTCTGTTTAAGTAAATTATTCTTTCTGTTTTTAACCTGAGGCCTTTGACGGATACAGAATGCTCATCGAGGAGTGGGGGGAAACCCATTGGTGTCTGCTTGCAAAGCCATTAGATTTAAATGTTTTCCTATTTATTTCCCTTTCGTCACACTCTCTTCTCACCCGCCCTTTCCGAACCATTAATACATCCACTTTGAGTGGGAAGTACAATGTTTTTGTTCACGCTTGCAAATGATTTAACGTTTCTCCTTGTAGGAGGGCGGGCAGGGGGATTACAATTCCTCAGCGACAGAATGACTCTCAAAGCCCAAAGTCCAACTTGAGAATCATTGTTTAGTCATAGGATTTTAACCATGATTTTTACCTTAATGAAGTTCCCATAAAGTTTTATACACTGCCTGTCAAATGTTGACGACATAGTTTTAATTTTTGTGTGAGATAACTCTTGTAAACCCCCATTCCCAGTGCAGCACCTATTTGTTGAGCTGAAATTGTTTGCAAGTACCTGTATCTCTCTTAACCCTTTTCTTCCAACTTGAGGCAACTGAGTCAATCTGCAGCTCTGTATGTTTTACTGCAAACTTTCACCATTTCACCAGCAGAAATCTACATTTGCATACATGAGGGAGAAGGGAATAGAGAGGTTTCGGGAACAGACTCACGTGGAGGTTAAACACCAGCACAGAGTTGATGATCTGTTTCAGTGCTGTACAGTCTAGGTAATTAATTTGTGCACTGTATTAGGGTCGAATGCATCACAGATCTGATGTAATAAAGTTTATTGTCTCCGTGGGAGGGATGCTGGTAGAATTAGGATAATTAGTGTGAGGTTGTAGCGTCTGTCTGAACAGTTAGGAGATTGTACCAACTGTAACACTGCATTTCCAGCATTCAGCCAGCGGAGACCGCTAGAGCATTTACAATTCACTTGTTGAATCAATTTGTTAGAATTCACTGAATTTTCAGAAGCAGAGCTTAACATTGAATCGGCCTAGATTCATGTGAAGAGTGATTTTGATGCTAAAGGTGCATCACAAATGGGCTTTACTTGAAATAAGAGTGGAATATACAAAACCTCCAGCTGGACCATAAAAGCTCCATTGATAGCGATGCAGTTAGAACATGTAAACATTGAAGATTGCCCAGGATCTGCTGAAAAACAAAAGGAAAAACAACATTACAAGACATTACACCAGACTTGCCATCTGGACTCTCTAGTTTTGAAGAGATTAAAGTTGCTCAAGCAAGATACTTCAATAAGATTGGAACACGACAGCTTTTTCATTAAAAGAAATCAACAGATGCAGTAATCGCAACTGTGAAGATGCAGGAAATAGGGGGAGAGAGAGAGAGAGATGGGGACACTTGAGAATTTATGGCTCTGTTAACTGACAAATTGATTTGTCAGACTTCAAATAGACTTTTAAAGCAATGAGCAATCGAGCACTAGTATTGTTGACTTAAAAAAAATGGATGAATTGGTGAACCAGAGAGTTCACTTGTGCCTGCCACGCAGTCTTGAGTTCAGTTGGTGAGTGTTCCTGCTTGATATCCTCATTCCCACTAGAGCTGAGGTTCCCAAACCTCGTCACAGTGAACCTCCCTAAGCCAAGGATAAGAAAACATTGCACCTCCCCACAGTTCTCCAAGGCAACATAAAGTACTGAATATCCCATCTGCCGCCAGAATATGAGCAACAAGTAGAACAGTTACAATAAGTACAGTTACAATAAGAGTATGAGTGTCAGAAGCACCAGTTCTGCTTCACAAAGCCCCTCGGTGCTATCCCACGGCTCTGCCCAAAAAGGAGCACAAATCGCAACTGCCAAAACAACTGCACAAACAATCCAGGAAATCGCAACACCAAACAACTGCAGACCATGTGGGTACATTACCCACCCGTCTAACCCGTCGGTGGGAGGAGTGAGCCTACCTCCTCGCTGTACAAAAGTGGAATTCCGGGTTGCAGCGTGGTTAGGTTATGGTGGGGTTTGGCTGTTACGGGCAGTGCCGTCACAGGGCCTGGCTGTTGGGAGCAGCCGGAACGCTGGGTCAGGCCCACTAAACCCACGTCTGTTGGGAGGCACACAGCCGTTGTCTACCTCAGCACACATCCGCACCCTCTTTCTCCCGCCCCCGGGAACCTGCTCCAGATGATCCCAGGATCCATGGTACAAAGCAAAGCATCCTTCTAAGGGTTGCAAAGAGTGAGCTGTACTAACATTGAGTGCATTCTCCAGAAGTTGTGTCTGAATAGGAAACCAGGTGCTAAATAAAACTGCTCAAGTTATAGCATTAGGTTAGCGACTGGCAAGATAAAAGGTGTCCTAAGTAGATTCAAGACATCCAACGTTATTCATGAAGGTGCTTCCTTTACTTTTCATTATGATTTCTGTTAATGGTAAAACTTTGAAAGTCACTTTATCAGGCCAAACCATGATCTCATAAAGCGCTGTGTCCTGTGCACAGGGTGGAGATAAAGCTTAAACTTGTGTGGGATATAAAAGCAGTTTGTAACTTCAGCTGACATCTTATCTTTG